TGAAACGTTATCTTTAGTTATTCTGATTCGTTACTGTTTTGAGTCTGTAATCTGATAAAAGATTTATACAGAACAAGAAGAAATGGAGAATAAAATAAATTCATTCGATTTCACGGCTCTTCATCAACGGCATATTGCTGATAATTACAACGAATAATATTGTTCGAAGCAAATATTTAATTCTACATTGTAAAGTTCAAATAAATGTTCGAAACGTAACAGAAACAAGGTGAACAAATAAACATAATTAAAATAGATTTGTAATCATTTTATGTCGGAAAGTAGTAATATAGAATAAAATAGTTGACGTTATAATTACTAGTAGTCTCAATGAAAATAAAAGAGATTATGCAAACGTAATGCAATTATTCAACTCCGCCTGTAGCTCTTCTAGAGTTACTGCCGGTCTCAAGCTCGGGTAAAGGAGGAGGGTTGGGCATGGGGTTAGCGTCCCCATCCCGTAGAAAACTAACTCGCTAAAAAAACTCTTACCAGAAAAAATAATTCAAACCAATGCAATTATTCATTAATTGAATAGCCATGCAACATGTTAAGAATAAAAATCAAATAAATATGTAAGTATTAATCAGATTATGCAAAAGATAAATATTCAGAAACAATAAAAGGAGAGTTGAAGAAAACTAATAAAGAATATTTAATCAACACTTTGTTACCATGGCAGAGAACAACTAGTTATACTCACTTTACTGTAAACATAGATCAGGTAGGAAATGTTTTATAGTGAATTCCTCTGAAAAACGGAGTAAAACTGGTGTTGATTAACTATTTTAAATGCATTTCTTATGTCTACTTTTCTAAAGATGCCTGGCGATTGCACATGTGACAGTGGTTTTCTAAGTGACAGTTGATTTGTTTTCCCATTGCCTTTAGCACTCCTCTATTCTCCTCAATCGGTCACATTGTGGAAATTATTAAACTCAATCACAAACCAAACTCTAACTTTGAATTCTCAAGGCAAAAGGGAAAGTGACTAAGCAAATAACACGTGAGGCCGGAAATCGGAGGTAACTACCAATTGAATGAACAATACTTGACAACAGCCAAAAAGAAAACCTCGGGATAAAGTTGGTTAGAGATTCTTGATCAGCGGCTTATGTCCCATGAGGGGTGAAAGGTTTAAACGAGTAAAATTTAAGTTATTGATCTTTATTCAAACATTTTCTGTATGATACACCTAGTCGTTGGTGATTTTTAAATGTTTATTACCCTACAGATTGTTTTACACCCTGGATTAACAAATCCTTAGTTTTTCTGCACTTTCGATAACTCTGAATAATTAATTTCACATTTTTTGAAATTAACTGATAGAAAGTTATCTAGAAAAGCCTTCTGTGTAATCAATTTCTCTCTTGTTTAATTCTTATGAGCTTAGTTTTACTTCACGTCTAAGAATCAAATTGCATATAAAACTTCATAACATTTTTATGGATTTATAATCATTTTAAAGGCAGTAAAATGTTACCATTTAAAAGGGTTGTCTAATCTGGATTCATTTACTCTCATACAATATCGTCTCATTTAATTAACAGTTTGTAACTTTTTGATTAACAAAATTCTAATGATCTGATAATCTCATATTAAAAGTTTCCAAATGTAGATAAAACCAGATTAACATAAATTGTTCACAGACACAAATGATCTCCATAGACTTAATTTTAAATTGATATAATTTTTAAAAATGAAAATGATATCCAAGATAATTGTCCAGTGCTTCCAGGTTTTCCATGATGATCTAGCTTCAATTAACTCATGATTTCAAATATTGAAATAATTGTACTTGTTGGATTTTTCTATAAAGACTATCCATTTTGCCTAGGAATAGTATAAATTATTCATTAGAATGTACGGCTTATGAGATGCACATTAAGAGGTAAAATAAATTTCTTTTTTTTTTTTTGTAAACACTTGTTAATATTTTACATTAAATTTGGAAATTTGCTCATTCTATCAAGTTTAATTTAGATGACAAATGTTTTACTCTTTGAAATTGTATAGATTACCATTTTAAAATGATTAGTTTGTTCTTTTGTTTGAAATTATTGTTTCAAATCTTACAAGTACATAATTCTCTATGTTCGCATTTTGGAGACAATCGCTTCCCTGCTGTAAAAGAATTTCTCATTTAAACAGAAGACAATGCTTAGTTAGGTAATTCATATTAACTGTTTGTATGTGTGCATAAGTATTGAATTATAAAGTAGAGAGATACAAATATCTAGGTCTTTTTTATTGTCAATGGTCATTATGAAAAGTGCCCCTAGTGACTTATTTATTATGAGTACAAATATGACATTTAAACATAAACATTTGATAAAAAGTAGACTTTTGCTCATTAAACAAACTTTCATCTAAGTCGGATCAATTTTTACTAAATTAAAGTTGTATTATGTAGAAATTGTGCTTATTTTTTCTTCCTTATAAGGTTTTGGTCAGGATTTCTTTCCAATACTATATATATATATATATATATATATATATATATATATATATATATATATATATATATATATATATATATATATATATATATATATATATATAAACAATTCATACAAGGTATTCTTTCATAAAGTTCCTTATCAAAGCCCTGAAACAGTCTACACTAAATTATAAAAGAATATTCAAGTAACCAACTGTACCCACCGGTCTGTATGAAGTCTCAGTAAAAATATGTTGCTATAATTGGTCAAATGTGTATATTTGCTTTATTTTATTTGGTTTCAAATATGTGATATTAAGCGTTCAATGCTGAAATCCTGATAAATTTGAGCATTCATACTTCTGTTTTCACTATATTTCATAAACGACGTCAGAATATAAACAGTAAAGTTGTTTTACTTTCAATAGTGTAATCCCGAAAATTAGTAATGTGTAACTTAATTTACTGCTTTGCAATCAGGTTTCAGCATTTAAATGAAATTTTCGCAGGTATTCATCATATGTGGATAATTATTATGCAAACAAAACTATGTTATCACAGTAAACATTTGAAATCACTAAAATCTAAACTTTTCAAGGTTTTCATTAGATTTTTTATTTAAACAATAAATAATTTTATAGATACAAAACAGCTTTGAATATTCAATTATTTCATATTTCATCGTTCATACAAGTTGAACGGCGGCTCAGTCGTCTAGAGGTTGACAGATCACGCGTGAAACAAAAGATTGTGGGTTCGAGTCTCGGAGGTGGAATTGTGGTTGTGCACTACTGATGAATTCCACACTAGGAAACTGCCATTCATTGCTTTCAGGTTTTTATTGGTGGTTTAACTTAGAACGGTTCACGATTTTAATGAAATTCAACAACCTCATAACCCCACACCGATAATCTTACATATATTGTTTGAATGCATATTATTAATTTCTTTTATTTGTGTACACAATCTGCAGAAAATTAGGCGAGACTGTGATCTATGGGCGAAACAATGGGAATGAGGATAGACACTCTTGGATTTTGGCCTGAAATTCATCCATGTATTTAGATAGCATTTATGCCCCAACATAACACTATTAAATTATAAATTTAATAGTGAATAAATCAGTTATAATTTTCAAGATAATGACCTCAGGTTTATGCTTGATTTCTTTAAGTAAATCATTCTATTTAGTTATGCACATGTAATACGGATACTATGAACTTAGACTGCATTAATTAAGAAAGTTTCCATAGATATGTTTTCATGATACTTACTGAAATATTTCCATACTTATTTTCTACAAGACGATGGTGATTTTGATGACAACAGTCGACAATAAAAACAATCAAGAAAACCACATTTAGTTGTAAAGAAAGAAAATTAAATAATCGAAACAAGAAAAAAAAATAATAAACTGTTTATTTTGCTCATCATATTATATTATATATGAATGGTTCAATTCAATCGACTTGTAATTAGAACACGGAAAAAACATGGTTTAAAAGTTCTAAAAGTTCTATATGTAACTTAAGATTATTTAATGCTTTTATTTACTGCACATCATTATCATATTGTAAAGTGGCTCACAAGAAACAAATGTCAATTTGGTCATAATACTAAAGATGTGAATCGTTCTCAAGAGTGTGGTAAGTCAGCTCTTCATTTCTGACTGCTCTCACATGGCCATGCGGATACAGCCACTGCAAGGGGAATTCTACTGATTCTCTTCTCGTGATGGGGGTTTGTTTACGACATTGAGAGGAGGAAAACCGAATGTCCGGATCTTTAACCGGGTTGGTGGACACGGAGAGCCTACCTAGTGGATTCAGAAAACCCTGATGCCAAACTATTGGTGAACACGGGCTCCGGCATCCCGAAGGAACAAATGGCGTATGAACCTATTGTTGGTCACCGGTTACCATGTGACATCTCCTTAAGTTGCTCCACTACCCAGTGCATGAGACCTTTGGGTCAAAGGCTCGGGGAATGGCCCCCTAAGAAACAAAATGCTTCAGTTTGGGCGCTCAGACAGTATTCTATCCCTCACACAAGTTAAATAATTTTTGTGGGGCATATATACTTGGTGCTCCCATGTACTAATGTCTATGTGTCTAAATAAGCCTTAGATCCAACTGTAACAGAACTAAAACAAAAAAGTAACTCTGTTAAGCAGCGAATAATGTAAAACGTATTGATGAAAAGCGACAATTCCATATACTGCATAGGCTACATTTGTGTTATCGATTTCTTTCGATATTATTCAACGATCAATTACTATTGATAATGATTTTATCTTATTATTGACTAAATTGTCTCTTCAATTTGCCGTAAACAATACTAATATCAACATTTGAAATTTTGGACTAATTTTGAAACCGGAAATTACACCTATTTACTGTGTAGCCTGTGCATATAAATCCACGTTTCAATTAATTTTCTAATTTTAATTATATGACCTTAGTAGAATACCACTAACCGATTGGTTGAATTCGAATAAACCAATTATCCAATCAAATGAAGGGCAAAAACAGAATAATAAAAATTCACTGTGAATCAGATTGTATTTCATTCCCTATGCTAATCATCAATTTGTATTATTATAGAGGAAATGTTTACATAAGTAAATAATATAACTGATTACATGAATAAACCTGCTTCCATTATTTAAAAAAAAATAACTGATGCTTACATAACACAATTACATAGATTATTGAAATGACAGAGGTTATGATTAAAAATCCCACTGTAAAGTTTCATAAACTTAACTACATTATAATATTAACACTTACTGTTAGCATCACCTTACCTACAATCTTTAGTGATCAAGGTAAGTAAAACATATTGTTTGATAATCGAAATGATGTTATGTATGAAATGTGATTGTATAGTTTAAAGGTTGATTTATTTTTAGAGAAAAAAAGACATGATCATTAACTGTATGTATATTTATTTCAAGATATATAAGAGGTATTGACATGGTGAAAATGCGTAAATAAAAACTGTCTTGATATCGTTTGCAATGTATATAAGTAAACTGGTTTTCTCATGTTATGCAATCTAAAGAAAGAAAGCTAAAAGGTTCTGTTTTTTAGCAAGAACAAATTAATGTTCAGATCATCAGTCCTAAAGAAATTAAATAAATAGATAAGACTGTCAATGGTAATAATTCATGCTCTAGGTAAACACTCTCAAGGCTGTATCTCTCTTTATGCAGTGTTATTATCGAATACACTGAAAATATATTCAGTGATATTGAATTTTTAGTTGGATCAATTATCAGAAAATATAGCATTTCTTAAACGCTAGTTTAGACAATAAATCTGTATCCTACTTTTATGGACCTAAACTTATACTCAATATCAGTATTACCAACATTTTCATTCTTAACAGCAATTACAAATTATATGAAAATGGATCGTTTTTCGGTTTGATAACTAGTAAGCCTTGAATCGGTTTTCTCATTCCATATTGGTACGCTTACTACAGATTATTCTGTATGCAACAGTTTTAGTTTTTGGTGATTAATTTCATTTGTAGATATTTTTTATTTTATCATGGACTGATATATAATCAACAAATCCAGATGCGACACTGATAGGAGAAAGAGGATGAAAGATTTCAAACAAGAATAAAACAGCTGTTTAGTGTATCTTGATTTTTAAATGCTTTTCCAGATTATATTAGTCTGTCAAAAAATTGCCTCAAAAGATTTTACTATCGTAAAACTATATATGATTACTGATTTATTTTCCGTCAATACTAGTTTATTCCTTTTTCTCAATTATTTGAATTGTGTGAATTAGTGAAACTTTAATAAAAATAACAGCCTAGTTAAGTTATTTATGATATATCAACAACCTAACACATTTAACCACGTCTACTTTTGTAAACACAATTCATTAATCGGTTGTATTAAGTACAGTATATTTCTTTGTGTCTAATATTGTTAGAAAACAAATAGCAATGGATTGTTTGCCAAACTCATTTTATTTCATTAGTATCAACAGAATTAATAACAAATATACGGAATTTTATAATTTATATCACATACTAATCTCAGTTAAATAATCGTCGAAAATGAGGATGCAATAAACAGCTGTTTCATCCGTGTATGTTATTCATAAGCAAGGTGTACACACGGCCCCACTAGAAGTCGGACTCAAAACCTTCAGCTCTCGCTGTGAGCTCTGAACCTATTTACCACTGAGTTGAGGTCTATTGGTTTATTTTCTTAATTTTAAGAGATTCGCAATATTGAACAATCATTAATCAGTGACATTTATGACTAACCACTACACAATTGACAGTTAAACTCTACTGATCACAACTTCTTACTAGAACTCATGTAATTACTTCTTAAAATTAATCACTATTGAGCACAGGAGTTTATATATTTAAATAAGTATTACAAATCGAAAGTCATCACCTTCGGTTTTGTTAAACGTCATAAAGTTGGTGCCTTGCTGTCCAACTGCTGTTTAGCTTTAATTCAGTAGCCTAAAAAGAAGAACTTAAATCCATTCATCAGTTAGCAAACATGACTTAGTTTTCTTCTTATCTGAATTCTATTGTTTTATCTAATTGTGTATTCCATTTAACATTTAAAACTGATTTTTTTAAGATTTTAGTTTATTGATAAAAAAACAGTTGATAATTCATTGTATTTTACTTGTTAACAGTCGGAAATTTGTAACTGGAAAGTGCAAATTAAATGTTGTAGTAACTTTTTTTTAAAACATTCTATGAAATATTATTTATACATACTTTCTTCTAACGGTTTTAAGATTTAAAAAAAATATACTTCTAGGAACCAAGTATGCTGAATAATGGGATTAAATTCTGATGTTAATACGTTGAAATTAATAACATTCCACAGTGAATTTAAACGATTGTACTTAAGTAAAAACAAACGTTTTCTTATCACATCGCTGATTTTAATTTTAGATAAACACGTGATACTTTGAATTCATCAGCTCTATGCTTGTATAATCAACACATATTATTGGCTAGAAAACATATCATCTAAAAAGAAAATGTTGATAAATAACGAACAATTTCAAAGTGATTATATCACCCTATAAAGTATATGAAACTAGGAGTTCAAAGGGAATCAGAACACTCTTCATTAATATAAGTACTACGTCTTTATTGTATCGACTGTAATTGTTTTACACAACCAAATATACAAATATTTTTACTTAGCTTAAATCTGTATTATTGATGACTTCGTAATCTAAATTTAATATTGTCTATGATGACAACATATTAGTAATAAATTTTTTTTGTCCAAATGATTAGAATAGCCGAATGATAAACTAAACTAAATAGATACGAATTTATGTATTGTTAATTTATTCACTGAAGAAGCAACTTAAATTAGACTACGAAGTGTCAGAAGTTCACTTTTTTACCTTTTGCAAATATATTATTATTTTATTGTTATCAACAACTCATGTAATGTTTAATCTATTTGAAACTATCAAGTAAAACCTTGGTAGTAATACTTAGTATCTTCTGTTATGATCAAATGATAAATAGATTTATTACTGAGAATTATGTTGAGGGTTTCAGCGATAAATCCTATCAAACGGCGAATAGGAATAATTTTGGTTAGGGTTAGGATTACATATACAGTTGAATATAAGAAATTAGGCTCATTTCATGAATTGCATTTATTTTGCCTATGGGAAATTTTATTTAGAAAACAACCGGCCTCAAACAAACAGCAATTCACATTTATAATTATTAACAAACATACTAAAATGTTTGTATAGCTAAGCTATATATTTGATAGACACAGTTTAGTCGGTATGGTTAACAAGATTGAATGATTTTGTCATATTTTTAGTGAGTGATCACTTTATAGTAATAATAATAACTATCTTATATATGACTAAGGAAAAATCATTAGTCACCGTTCATAGGACAACTAAACAATGGCCACATTGTGTTGATAATTATGTCTAGATTATTAAGTTCCACTAGACAATAATTTACACATCTGATAATTATTCTATTAATCATCAGGATAATATTTGGTATATGAACAACCGCTAAGACGGCTCCGTTTGTTAAATAGTTAACCAACTAAATTAGATTTTTTTCTCTTGAAATCAATAAAAATCAACAATATCACAAAGGAATGAAAGAAATTTTAAATTTCCCAACTGTAACTTAGACATTTTTTTCAAAAAGTTTGTAGAAATGTTAATTATGATAAAGTACAAGGTTAACAGTAGTGTATTCAGTAGACAATAAATTCATGAAATAATTTTTAATGATGTGGTCGAATAAATTTGATTTTTTTTTCTATTTCAGTCTCTAGGCACAAATGTAGCTTGTTTAAGCTTTTAATATAAGATTTGTGGGATACTGACTAATGCGTTAATTTATGTTAATTGACTTTCTTTTCTAATTCATAATCTAATCAGACTATCAGTAGTATTAAGTATAGAACCCGATAAAAGTGGTTCAATCCCATTTCGCATAATATTAAGAAAGCATTTCTGTAAAAAAAACAAGTTTAGTTAAGAGAGAAGAAACTTTAAAACTTTTAATTGGATTAGAAAATTATTTAAACACTTTAAACCAGTTTTATAGGTTCTAAAACTAGGTATCCAACAAAATAACAAGATTTGCACAGAAAAATGGTTTTGACATTACTGAGAAAACAATAATATTGTTTTTCTTTTGACAAAATGGCTAAAAAATATATCAGAGAAATATACAACTCTAAGTTATTGACAGTCACCGTACTAATATGCATTACACTTGCTTTGTTATATTTATCTTGGTAATAGATTCGCAGAACCATTTTATCTAACAATTCACAATTCATTTCTTTAGCTCAAAGGTAAGGTCATTGAAACAATCCACCTGAATTAATGGGAATGGTAGCAAGTATTTAACCCAGTAGGTTACTTATCTATAGGAAATTAACTTAAAACACAGGCTAATATCATGTATGCTATACTTGTTTCATTAGTAAAATGAAAATGCCTCTCTACAAATCGTAATTTTGAATAATAATCTGTAGATACGAACTGAAGTTCATAATAAACTATAAATGTTACCTTATATTTTACATTTCTTACTTTGTCTCTCACTCTATTATACATTGAGTAGTTAAATGACAGTGATGCTGTCAAACACTTAGGGAATGAAGTTTTTGATTATCTGATTGGCTAGTCGGAATAGAAAAATGAATAACAGTTGATTACCAGGTGTCGTTTCCATAAACACACCATTTTAATAATTAAAACTGACATTTTATAAAAACAAGTTAGATTCCGACAATATTTATTACCTCAACAACTATAAACATATAATGCGATATTTTTTTAAATTTTTACACATTATTCCATACATAGTTTCAAAACCAAAATGTAACTGTATGACTGAATGCTGGAAGTTTAAAATAAGGACGAGCATTTTAAAGTAAACATCAACGTAAATGTGCTTTATTTAGTTTTTAGTCTTGACGTTTTTGCCAACTTTAATGTGAATGACTAGTGGACATTTCAGACTTTAGCCTATTCGTGATATCGTATGGTTAGCATCTAGTGTCGTACGCGATTACCATTTATCTCACGGATGACACGAATTCTAGTATCGCTACAAAGTGCATCAACATAAAATGAATGTTGTCTCCGAATCTCGACATTTTTCACAGACCCTCTTTTCAATAGTTTAGTGAAATAATAAAACGTTTATAACCGTGTTCTGTTCTTTTCATATCTACATTTTACTTTAGAATTGTTTTTTCTAACGAATCTTGGTCACTACACTCGGTTTATCCTAAACAAATATTTTAATAGTTGAATAGTT